GGTACAAGCTTGGAATCCTCCTGACTCAGCTTCCCAGAGTGCATTGCAGGCAGGCACCACCATGCCCAGCTTGGAGAAGCAGTTATTTTGCAGTGCTGAGGATAAAAGCCAGGGCCTTACGCCTGCTGGCCAAACTGTCTACCCCGAGCTAGACCTCTGCCCATGGAGAAGCAGTTTTGAATGTATAAATATTTCTCCTTCAGAATGTAAGGATGAATTGGTCTAAGATGTTTGGCAGGCTATGATTCCTCTCCTGCGTTATAAACAAATACTGAAATGAACTTTCATATATCCATTTTTTATACACTTAGATCTCTGGAGTTGGATCTTGCCTTCCAGTGTCTCCTCATTGTAGCAGACTTCAAAGGCATGAGGTTTTCCCCAGAGGGGAGACACGAGAGAAGTTCTTCCTAAGTTTTGAGCCGGTCTATGTTGACTGCCCATTTTGAAATCATAGACTCTCCTTCCTTGAAGGTCATTATCAGTCACCCAGCTCTCTTAGGCAGGCGTCACTTCCCCAACACTGCTGTCCAGCCCAACCTCGGGTGGAGCAGTTCCTGGGAGGTCACTGCCCTCTAGTAAAGTTGGCTCCACTGGGGTGGCTTTGATTGTTAGATATTCATTTGTTCACATCACTTTCAAAGCTCTTCCACTGTGGTATCTACCCATTTTACAAACTTCTAGTCTCTGGAGCCACCTTTTATGGGTAGCCCTTCTCTAGGTAGTGGGCAGCAATACTGAGCAATATAAGTGACCTTATACTAATAGAGTAGTTCAGTTTTCACTGCCCAGCACTTTGGGTTAACAACACACTCGTGGTAGGAGCTGACATGCAATCACACATATGAAACGCTCCTGAATGAAACGATCTGTGAACACACTGGGGGACACTAGATTATTCCAGTCTGGCCCTACTATGACATCCATGGTCCAAATCAAGAGACAAATAGGTTGTGTTATGGTTTAGATCTTGAATGTCCCCCAAAGCCCATGTGTTAAAGCCTGGGTCCCCAGCTGTGGAGGACCACCTAGGCGACTCTCCGTGAAAGAGGAGCAATTGCCTCCATTTTGGCTGAGCCTGACCCTATTTCCATGTATTGACATGTACAGAGCTGGCTAGGGCTTTTCCTTATCCCGTCAATTAGCTTTAAGCAATACATATTGGTCTAGCCGAGATGCTGATGGTAATCTTTGGAGATGGCAGGCGTGTTTCCTTGGACCCCTCGTTGTTCCCACAAGTGAGTCAGGATGAGGCGGGATGTGTGAGCCAGTGCTCCACAGTGTCAGCTGGTATTGAGCCTTGGGATAGAGGCTATGACTTCTAAAGGCTTCAAACATTACACATCAGAGCTGAAGCACCGACCCCCCCCCCCGCAAAAATTAGATACTTGCATCTCAGTTGTGTTATGCGGATTACTCTTTCTGCATATCCTTCTCTCTGCATTTGCAGAGATGATTTCAGGCCTCCTACTTAGCCCAGCTCATGGCACTCACCTACTTCCCACGGTTCTCATAGTCACTCATCCTCAGGCCACTCCCTTCTTCATGAAGGAGTAAAACCCGAGCTCAGCCTTGGGATGAGGCCTTTGTTCCGGATGGCCATCACTGGGGCTGGACTTAGGGCCCATTGGCTCCCCATAATTGCAAATATGCCTTAGCGTCTTTATTCTCACCATGGGTTGCACTGGAAGTGGTAGACTGGAATTAACTCACTGTAATTCCAGTAACTTTTCATGGGATTACAAATATAAACTTCCTGGGCTATGATGAGGACTGAGGAGGGCTCTCTATACCCAGCATGGGCTTTTGGGAGGTGATGGCAGCCATAGGAAGTGGGGTCTGTGCGAGGTCCCTAAGTTACTGTGTCCTTGAAGGAGACCGTGGGACTCGGCCCGCTCCTCCTTCTCTGCTGCCTACTGGCCATGGCGTGAGTGCTTTGGCTTTGCTGTGTTCCTGCCAGGGTGCGCTTCCTCACCATAGGCCAAGATCAGTGAGGTCACTGATTGCAGATACCCCTCCAGAACTGTGAGCCAAAATCAACCTTTTCTAAGTCAATCATCTCAGGTATTTTGTTAAGTGATGGAGAGATGGCTACTACGAGGAGCAATGTGTCAGAGTCGGGGACCTTTAATTCTTGTGGCTCTCATGTGCAGAGCTCCCCTTTGGAAACACCTGAGTCTCTGCCTCCCCCTATGCTCAGCTGAGCGGGGCACCTGGAAGTGAGCGCGGTGGGACTGGAGCACACCTCAGGTCACGATCACCCCAAAAGATGTGCGTACTGGGTGAAGGTGCAGTCAGGGAGTTTCTGAGTGTGGTGGGAGTTTGCCAACTGCTGGGGACCAGCACACCTGGAAGCGCAGAGACAGGAAAGAGCCTCTGTGCGCAAGAAGGAAGTCCTCAGTGTGGTCGGTGCTCAGCAGGGGTGGGAAGGGGGGGCGGGGGGACAGTGGGCAGAGGCTGTGTCAGGGGGAGACGTAGATGCCCTGTTGGGGGACTTTCCCCCCATCGTACAGGCAAGAGAGGACTGTCACTGGCGGGCAGCGAGTCTACTCCAGAGTCAAAGGACTGGGTTGGCTGGTGTGTGGTGACCTTTGCCATGACCCGTTGCAGAAGTCCAGACTGGCTCTGCTGTGTGGTTTCAGAGAAGAAATACCAAAGGCCTGACCTAGAGCTCCAGGGCAGGAGAGGTGTGCACTGCAGAGAGAAACAGGAAGGGACTGGACGGATGGGAGGCCCTGTGGGGGGCAAGAGAGGCCCACGGTGGTGGAGTCTGGGTGGCGGGGGGGCTTTCATTCCTTTGCTACCATGGCGGGAAGTCTTGGCCCAGGCTGTGTCCACTGGCCTAGGCTCTGTCCTCAGAGAGGAAGCTGCCCAAGGCCACCAAGGATGGGAGCTGCCACTGGATGAATAGGAAACTCTTGTCAAGCCAAAGAGTGACGACACTAATCACGCGGCCACACGTCTCACGTCTCTTTGGCTCTTTCTGATGAACAAGGCCTAAGGAGAGCCTCAGACCTGAGCTGGTGTCCCAGGGAGCCCAGCTGGAGGTGCCCCAAACCTTCTGCTGGCATCTGCTCAGGAGTGGAGTGTGTGCCAAGCTCAGGCGTTTCTCTTGATAGTTTAGTTTCAAACACACTTCAGGAATACTGAACAACTGGGCTAATTACAGCCCCCTTTGTCCCTATCCTAGCAACAAACTCACAAAGCTTTTCTACAAACAATACCACAATCAGCCTGACACCAATCACTGAGTTACTAATTCCTAACTTAACATAAAACAAATGCCTTTGTGAAATGGTTAAAGCATTGCAAGAATATTTATTTTGAGTGACTAAACTATACACTTCCTGTTCAGTGTTAAGGAAAATTGGTCTTTATTATTCCAGGGAAATGTCAAGATCGCTAAGTGTTGTAGCATTTTGACCTGTGTTATGTTGAAACAAAGTCTCCACGTGTTTCTCATAAAAATATACATCAGAGATGACTTCAAACTGAATGTCAAACTTCGTTAAAGGTACAAACCTCCTCAAAGTTATTTTGAATATCAAATATAACAATCAAATGCATATCAGCATGTGCCATGTTTTTCTCTGAGGCTGTCTCATGTTGTTGGATTTAGTGACTTTCTGAATATTAGCCTAAGTGACAAAAGTACCTGCCTGTGCTCTGTCACCCTGACCCCTGCCAGCTGCCAGGTTGCAGAAACTCCACCAATTCTTCTAACAAGTCAAGACTTTAACTAAAGTTTTTTTTTTAAAAAATCTATGTTCACCTTGCTTGACTTGCATGATGATTACCTGGGTGTGTGTGTGTGTGTGTACAGAAATGTATCAAACTTCACACTTCTCTGCATGTTAATTATAGTCCAATTAAATGTGAATTGTTTTAATATTTGTTATATCAGCAGAACAATTTAAAAAGTTGACAATGGAGATAGGTTTCATAGGCCACTATTTAGTTGTTTAAATATAGTTTCATGACCTACTAGTCCTTCAGCTCAGGGTTCTGTGTCTGAGTCCTCTGTCTTTTTGTAGGATCCTAAGAAAATTCAGTCTCCTTGGTGAAGTGCTAATTCCTCTTGCTTGTCTCATCCCAGGGTAAGGACGCAAAGGGTGGATCCTAGAACCCCTACAGGGTTGGGCTCTCTGTTTCATAAGCAGCAAGTGTTTTGGGCTTCTGCAATTTTTATTTATTTCCAAAATGTATTCTACAGTGACTTTATTGGTTTACACTTCTCTGAAGATTTCATGGTACTGAAAGAGGCTATTTACTAGAACACGATCAGCCTACATTTTAGGGTTAAACTACTAAGAGTATAAAGGCTTTGATGTTTCCAAGTTTTTGATAAACATTTGCATACTTCATGGTGTACTGCTGCCTGATTTTCTCTAGTATCTGTCCTTCTAAAGCGAGTCTGAAGTGTCTCCCTGGTTTGGAGATGGAATGGCATGGTATTTAAATGCACTGATCCTGGAGTTGAACTGCCTAGGTTTGAATCCCCATTCCTGAGCTGTGGACGTAGTTCAGTGGCAGTCCTTCCCTGGCATGCATGAGGCCCTGCCCTGGGTTTGATCCCCCATGACACAAAAACCAGAAAACAAATCCCCGCTCCTTCCCTGGCTAGCATGTTGATAAGATGTGGACAATACCTCATGAAGTAGAGTTCTGAGGATCAAGTGAATTAATACAGCACTTTACCAAGTTATTAGGACATCATTTTGTCAATAAAAAAGTTACAAACTATTAAGACTTTTCTGCCAGTCGGTTGCAACAGTAAATGACAAAATGCTTCCTTTCATGAATGGAACAAGGAGGCTCAGATTGTGTTTAATGCTTCAGGCATCCAGTCAGGAACAACAGACAGCTGTAGAGAATATCTACAGCACAGAAAGTATCTATGCTTAGGAAATTCTTTTGATTCCACTCCTAGTTAAATATTTAATTACTTAGGACTTTCAGTATCCAATAAGAGGACAAAAGACTTTTAAAAATTATCAGGCTGGGCATATCAATATTTATTGAAATACTGAAAAAAAAATTCCATTTTGGTGAGAAATTTCTGGCAAGAACTGACATGACAATATGTATTTCACTGATACAGTAAGAAAATGTCAATGCGTAACTGACTTCACACTCTAAACATTGCGCGATCTGTAATATAAATATCCAGACATGACAGATTGTCTGATAACCAACATAGACCAGCTCTAGTAAACGAAACTAAGCCAAAAACCTTTATATTTGAGTCTGCTTGTACTAATAAGTCCTGTATTGATAAGGCAGTTGGCTAGGCCAATGTCTGGTTACAAACTGATTAACAATTCACAGCAGAAAAATTCACTGGCCAATTTCTGAAGGGCCACAGGCAGCTGTCACACTGTCCTGCTCATCGGCTTCCGCCCATGGTTTCACCAGCAGTATGGATATGACTGTGTTGCCTGACTTGCGAACCACTCTCAGGGTGTAAGCCACCTGGTGAACAGCATAGCAGTATGTGATATTTTTCAGGTTTAATTTCAGTGAAGAGTACTGTACATGTAAAGTAAGAAGAAACAGATTTTAAGAATCCACATATCTGGCACTTTTGCAATGTTAAAGACCCTTCCAATAACTATCCTTCTAATCTCCAAATCACCTCCCCCATGCTACACACACCTGATGGAGCCCTTTCATTAGCCATTGACTGCACCGTTCCTCTCCACCCGCCACTAGCCAGCTTGGTCTTTAACTAAGGGAAGCAAGGCTGCTGCCATGCTCTTTCACGCTTTGGATCTGAGCTCTGATCAGTGATTTTTTTCATTGCCCTTTGAGCCATGAAGATAACACAGGGGACGGAGACCCGGCACACGTCTATGCCCAGCTTGGCTAGGGTATAACCTTCCTGTGGATGAGCATCAGAGGTGATTAACAAGAATAATAAAATAATCTTCTTTGTACACACTGACGTAATAACTAATATCTTTGGTATACAACTTACAATGCTTGAAAGGAAAACCAGGTAAGAGTCCAACTTGTTAAATTTACTTGAAAACAGAGGAAGGTACAAGTCACATAATTTACAATCGATATTAAATAAGCTACAGTAAGAATTATATTTATGAAGATTTACAGACATTTAATCAAGTGGATGATTTTAATTCATTAAGACCCTTCTATGTCCCTGAACTATGTTCCACTAACTTGAAGACATGCTACAGTAAACACATATATTTGGTTTCTTCAGTCTTGGCTATCTCTTACACAAAGGTGAAACCAAGGTACAATAAATTAGCATCATAATTGTCTACAGTTGAAACTATGATATACAATATAAATAAACTATTCAAAAGCCAGAAACATTAATGAAAAAAAAAAATCAAGGGACTAGGAGATACTTTTATTTTTTACAGTTTCTACAAGTGATTGTGCTGCAGATCATCTCAAAAAATTAAAGTCTAAATGAGATTCCTGTTTTTGATTTTAGTGTCTCACGACATACAATAATTAAGTACTGTTAAAAATAATTACCAATCAGAAAAATAACATTAAAGAATTACTGCTTCTGCTATTTTGTAATATCACAGTCCCCCCCACCCCTCCCAGGACCTAAAGAATGTAAACACTATATTTTTATTTGACTTTAAAGTATTAATACTTTATTTTAAACAAATGTTGATCCACATCTGCACAGCTAACTTTTAGAATCACGAAATAAGGCAAGACTTTCATATCTGTGGCATTGTGTGTTAATAATACTGACAGCGTTGTTCGGAGAGTTTGTTTGCAATTCTCTATCCCCCAATATTTGTTCTACAGCAGACTTTGGCCTATGACTTACAGGGTCAGTATCACTCTCTTCCTTCCCCCTTTGGGAAAGATTTGCATTACTTTGTTATCTTTCCAGGCTACACGTAAAAAATCAGTTTCCATCCCAAGTTTAGGAGATACTCACTTGCAACTAGAATGAACCTTGAGTCAGGTTATCAGCTCACCTTTTTTTCTTTTCATTTTGCATAGCTTCACATGCTTCAGTTTTTATGTTCAACTACTTAGAACTGTGACTACTTGACATCCCAGCAAAAGAGGCTTAAAGTCTTGTTTTTAAATGAACACAAACTTTTCATGATGAAAAAGACGGATGTATCCTAGTAAGCCTTTTAGTCATTCTTATGAAATTCAACAATGCCAAAGCCACATTTCACCAACAATAGCAGAAATAAGATCTAACTTGCTTTAGTTATGGAGCATTTGCTTTAAAAATTGGTAGTCATATCCCTTAACATTAATTAATGCTTATATATGGTAGAAGAGGGATACTGCCTGCTTTTTTTTCCCCAATCATGAACACGTGACTAAACAAACCAGAACATAGTTAAAATGGCAAGCTGACATATTTATAGACTGTTCTTATTAGCTGTTTGCAGGTCTACAACATAGACATTCAGAATTCATGATTTAGTTGCGCTACTACTGGGCATGTCTGACCACAGATCCTTAGTACAGGTTCCGTGGTCACAGGGCAGAAGGTCTGGGGGGTCTTCACAGGAAGAGAGAGGAGCTGTCCAGGTACAGCTGACGCATTCTTCAGAAGTGTTTCAGTTCAGCTTCACCATGGAGGAATTCTGTAAACGCAAACCCCCCACTGAACAAACCTAATTAATAACGCAGATTAGTTCCTAAATTTCTTCACAGCGGAGATCAGCTTAAATACACAACAACTGTTCTGTCCATGTTTATTCTGACACAGTGTTGGAATCCATCTGCGAGTTCAGTCCACTCCATTACAACGTCTTTCATATGAACCCTTTGGGGATGTGAAGCCTTTGATTCACAGTTTGCAATACAAATACCCTGATACATCATTTATTTGTTATTAAGTATTTGATTATTATGCTTTTTAAAATTCAATATCTTTAAACCAAGTTTTTAATTAGTGTGCTGCTTGGAGCAGTTCAGAGTATTTTTTTTGTCCTCTTCCTGTTCTTCTTCCCCTCTCCTACCCCAATCTGTTTTTGTTCTGAAAGCAGCGCTCCTAGGTTTGTAACTTACGCTCTTTTGGCATGCAACATTTCGATGAGAAGGTTATTATAGGGGACATCTCCATTCAGGTGCTTGTAATAGAGGTATTCTTCAGCCTGCATGCTAATTGCTCGGATTTCTGGTAGTCCACGTAGTAGCTGCCCGAATTTCTCTGCTTGCTGCGGGTAGTTGCAAAGTGTATAGTCCAGCAGGGCCGAGTTGACTTGTTCCTGGACACCTTCGACCAGCTGGAAGTTCTCAAGGTTTTTGACATCTGCATTTAAGAAACAAACACAGCAATATTTCAATGGCATTTTAATTCCTGTTTACTAAAGTAGCATGTTCAATTAGTGTGTGCATTTTCCTCTTGACATAATGCGTACTGTATGTGCTGCTGAATATTCGGTAAGCCCCGCTCACCGAGCTTCCTGGGAAAATGATCACAAAAGAGCTTTAGAAGAATGTCTTGTTGAAATTCTGCATATACCTCAAATCAATTAGACACCAATGGATTTTGAGCAAGGTCAACTCTTTTTATATCTTACAAAAGGAAAGGTTTGAGGATTCCTAAAGTAGAGGGATCATAATATATTGCCAGCAAATGAGTCCCTAGAGAAAGACCTATCTTAACCCAGTATATTACACAATTCATATAATTCTGTATTAATTTTTCTGACCCAAGGTGAAATCTGTGTCCAGGGTATGATGTAGTTAATTCTAATTTAAAGTGACAGGGTTCTTGTTTCTGTTTGACATTTTCTAAATGATTCTGAAAGCCTTTGACTTGTCTTGCCTATGCTAATGAACCATCTGGTACACTCCAGTGACTGCCAACGGAATAGTTGCTACTAGGAACTCTCTAAAATATATATCTCAGTGACTAATGATCTTTATCAAATGAAAGCCTTGTCCTTTAGGCAGAATACAAGGCAGGATGGTTGGTGCCCTTTAACCCGAATGGGGTTTCTAAAGTCTATTCTTTTCTCTTTCTTCTTCTGGTCCTGGGTCACTTGTAAGGGTAAGCGGGACACAGGCCATTCATTTTGCCTAACTCCTGGTGATCATCCAGTTGTTTTAAAATATCTGCCCCAGAGGTGCTTATAAATAATGAATAAGAGAGAAACACTGAATCAAAAAGACAGACTGACATACAAATGCACACACGGATAATAGGCAAGGCAAAATGCAATGTTGGCATTTCTCTCTGGAGTTCACGTTAGCTGTACAGCTTTGATACAGTGTGTATATAGAAGCCTCTGGAAAAACACACAGATGTGTGTAGGTGTTTCCATAAACCTCTGAACAGAAAGTAAACAAATGCAGACATCCCCACTTTTATTTCCTAATTGGAAAAAATAAATAAGGCAGATTCTGAAGAAAACGACCTAATACTACGAGTAAAAGGTTACATGCACTAACCAAAGATAATGGTTACAATAGTAAGTCATATCCAATATTTTGGGCATCTGATACTGTGCATATCTAAATGGATCTGCAATAAGTCTGCATTACATTTGTTGTTGAAATGTGTTCAACACAATTTCAGTGTTTGCATTTAGGCTCCACACTGCATTAAACATTCTTCTTCCTATCCCCCACAAGTCTCTGACCCAAATTCAGAACAGCAAATTTACAGAGATACACATAGGGAGTGTGAGAGCTGGATACTACATCTATTTCAAAGTGCGATGGGAGACAAAAATATTGGATTACTTATTAATGAGTTACACAGACAAATGCTACTCTATTATGAGCTCTCTATCTTCTTGTGGCATTTGAACTGATAGCCAGGTTGTGTCCATTTGACTTTTTCTATATAGTTAATAAAGCATTTTCCATCTTCTACATTTCAAATACTTTAAAATGATTTTTAAAATTTATTTGTATATTTTTGAGACAGTGTCTCATTATGTAGTTCAGGCTGGCCTTGAACTCACTATGTAGCCCAGGATGGCCTTGAACTCACTATTAACCCAGGCTGGCCTTGAACTTATGGCAATTTTCTTGTCTCAGCCTCCTGGCTATTGAAATTGAAGGCATGCGCCACTATTTCTGGTGTTAAAAATGATTTTAAATTAATTTTAAAATGTATAAATATGGGTATGGGTCTACCAATATACTTGATTCAAAATTATAAGATGTAAACATTCAAAATACCTTCAATATGCTGTGCCTCAGTAAAAAAAAATCTGTGTGAATGCTGTCATAGTGACTTAAAGATAACTATAAAAATTTGAAAGAGTATTATTGTATGCTACAGAAAACGAGTTTCACAAGAAAAAAACTAACAACAGAGATTAACAGGAGGGTGTAGGAATTTGGACAGTATAAAATGTAAGATAAGTAAATAATAGTTTTTTTAGAAAGTTGTTTTTGAGACTTTTTTGATAAATGTATTCTTTGAGAATTAAATTTTAACATCTCGTGATATTATGCCACTTTATTTAAGGTTTAAAAAAACCCCTACCAATAAGTATAAAACAAAAGCTAGGTAAAGCGTAAGTTCTGGTTGATCATGCACTATTACAGAATAATCATTAAAGTCTTCAGATTAACGTTTGTGGAAAATCTGAGTATGGTCCACCCCGGCACCTTTCTCTCCAAAAGTTTAAACACACACACAGTGCTCCTGTGGACAGGAAAATATGCGGCTTTCCCATACTTGGCACAAATGTCAGGTTTCCCCTTCAAGATCACCAGAGCTGAATTCACATGACTAAATTAATTACGGCATTAAGCTGTTTCAGGGAACTTATCACTAAATATAGCAAAGCTTATGTTGCTAATCACCCCCCAAATACTTGCTTGCTGGATGTCTATTCTGTTTCTATGTCTATACTGGGGACAAGGATCCTGATATTTAAACTACAAGGCTAAAAAAAGAAAGGAGGGTAGAGAGAAAGCAACGTGCAAGAGGAGGAACTTCTGGTTGGCTGACTCATTTGGTGGCAAGTAGTTGCTGGGTCACTGCTCTGCTCTCTGTTTCTCTATAGTAAATTCTTTCAGGTGAGCACTTTGCGTTTGCAAAGGGGCCCCGAGAAAATACGCCATTACTGTTTACTTTTTATTGCTCCTGATTGTCCCCAAATTAATAGACCTTTAATTGTGAAGTGACCTATTAACTTTTTTTTTTGTCTTTTTGAGACAGGGTTTCACTATGCAGTTCAGGCTGGCCTTGAACTCACTTTGTAGCCCAGGCTGCTCTCAAACTCCCAGCGATCCTCCTGCCTCAGCCTCCCCAAGCTGGGATTACAGGTGTGCACTACCACGCCTGGTTCTGTTAAATTCTTATAAGCCAATCTTTTTCTTAATAGAAACTGATTTAAAAAATATATATATATATTCAATAGAAGTCTTTCTGAAATAAAACATTTTTAAATGTATTTTCCTTAAAGATGCTGTAGAGTTAAAACATCCTAGAGTGAATCCTTTTGCTATTCAAATAACGGAGTCTTAATTTACATGTTTTGCAGAGGCACTGGCTAGTGCTGCTTAGGGAAGGGCACCTGCCTTCCCACTGGAGCTGGAATCTATCCCTGGGATTCCAAGTCACCCAGGTCTCTGGGTCTCGCCGGCAAACCTTGATTTTACAATTTAAATACTAATTCACACAGAGAGAGTTCATAAAGCCCTAAGGGGGTGGGGCTGGAGATTTAGCTCAGCGGCAAAGCGCCTGCCTGGCAAGCACAAGGTCATGGGTTCAGTTCCCGGTACCGGAGAAAAACCAAAAAAAAAAAAAAAAAAAAAAAAAGCCCTAAGGGGAAGGGAGAAGTGCTAAATGCAGAAGACAGCCTCCCTGCGACTTGCAATTTTCTTTTAGGTGGTTTACATTTGTTTCCTTTTTAGAAAGACTTTAGAAATCCAAGTATATTCTCATAACATGCAAGGAATTAATTTTTATGCAAATTTAAACCTTTTCATGAAAACTTGAAGATGAAATCAATTTAAATTGAAATTTAAGATCTTAACCATTTTTTACCTGGGGTGTCCCTCCTTCAAATCAATCCCTGTGCTAAGTAATGAATGACAGGTAGTTGGTATATTTGAAAGTCTTAATTCACCTATAGCAGGAGTCTAGAATACCAGACTTTCTCGGATGAACTGATATTAAGTTATACGAGGAAAGAAAATCTAGACAAATACATTACATGTTCTGGAGTTCTCAGAAATATGTTTTTGAGACTTGCTGCTTGGGTCCCATATTAAACAGCATCACACTGCATCTGGATTTTAACAATGGACACCTAGCCAGAGGTGTCATAACAGAGATTGCTATGTGGCCAAAATTCCCGCCAGTTCTGTGATTTTAATGCCAGATCCCCAAATCTCCTGTTTTTGGTATTCTGTGTACTCCTTTGAAAAGCAGATAAGCATCATTTTAATACAATTGAAAATACTACCTAACGAACTCTATCATTACCAATTCTGGGTTGGAAATTGTGTGTAAACAGACAGAGGCGTCCCCAGCCTTTCTCTACAGTTTTTAAATTTTGATGGCTGGCAAGAGCATTCTGTGCTTTCCCTCGAAGTATTAGTCTCTTATCATCTATTCTACTTTATTCACTCAGGGACTAATTACTAACTTTTTATATGAAACAGCATTACGATAAGCTCACAGTGGGGTGCTCAGATTTTTTCCATCCTTATTGGAAAGTAAACCCTTAGGTCTTCTTGAATATATTACAGTTCAGCCCTCTCAGTCCTCACAGCATTCAGGCTCTCTCTGAAGATGCAGATTTTTATCTCTGCTGCTCTGGTCCCTGACACATGGCGCAGCCCCAAACCTTCCCGTTTCACACACTTTTCCAGAGTGGGTCCTCTGCTGGCAGGAGGGCTGGGGATAGCATGAATGGTATTGTGCCGTGAACTGGGGGAAAATCCTACATAGTTATTTACAAGAAGACATAAGGGCCGGGGCTTTTGCAAGGATGACAGTCTATAGATTGTCACAGCTTGTCCTCAGAAGGCCTTTTCCTTTGACATAGAAAAGGAGAAACGAATTTTTTGTAAGGAATTAATTTTTTAAAATTTTTTTTACAGGGCTCAACATGAATAATGTGCATAAATAATTCTGCAAGAATTTTCAGAGGTTGGACAGCAACGTGCTAGTTCTTTTACTACGAACAAAGTCCACTTAAAGAAAAGTCCGAGCCATTCAGGGTTGCAGGTGAGGGAGGAGGTTATTTTTGCTGGTGATGTTTCGGATGAGATGCTACCCCCAGTTTCCAGTAAAACATGAAACTCCAGATAGATCCTTAATAATTACATAGGTGT